CAGACAACCTCTCGTCAATATGCGTTTTTCGCATTGCATTGCTGCAAAAAACGCATAAAAAGTTGCAAAGAATGGAGGAATTAACTTCTACATGCGATGCGTCATGCTAAAGAGGAGTAGACTGTCCAAAGACTAATCCCAGGGTACAATTTGCGAAAGATAGGAAAAGGTGATAAATCATCGTGAAATACTTGGTTTCTGAAATATTAATTATAATGTGACATTTCCACTGAGTGAAATATCAGCATATTAGAACACTAACCTCTTGAAGGGAAGCGATGGGGAGCTCTGGATAAGCTGGCGCACAGCAGTCTGTAAGAAACCGAACGGACACCACCACGTTGGCGTAAATACTTCGTTCAAACATGGCACCGAGTGTAGCAATGTTTCTAACTTGGATCCCCTCGCAACGTATAAAATAGGCTTCTGAAATAAGCATACCTTTTGCTATTCTGAAGTTTTTTTTTGGAAGAAACTGGCATGAAGTTCTGGGAGAAATCGACTCAAAAGCACTCCCAATTCCCCTATGTCACTATTCAACTTCCACAAGGCATTTCACAGGGGAAGGAGGAGAAGCTAAATCAACGAAACCAAAACAAAGGTGGCAAGAATGGGGTCGTAAAAAATGTGCTTCAAATACTTAGCCACCGCTCTAAATTTATAATTAATAAACTCTACTCCTTCTCTTCTTCTTCCTTTTTCCTTCTTTCTTTTTTTACCTTTGTTTCTTCTTTTTTCACCTTTTTTCCCCTCTCTCTTACATTCCTTCCTTTCCTCCAAATTATCCCTGAACACCACGACCGTCATACTGAGAGGTTCAGTCGTGGTGTTGAGCTAAGACGTATATGACTTAATGGACCGAAACGTCTTAACTGTTTTTCCTACTATTTTTTCTCTTTAAATACACTTCCCTTACTTTGGCACCCATCAGCATGGATGCTACAAACGGATTAGCCCACCTGGAATTTATAGTCCGCTTGTGCAACTATACAACTAATAACTTGTTCAGTTACTTTGACCAGTGCTGCATTATCTGGTAGTCTGCTTGTTGACGATCCTGATATTCGTCCCCTCCCGTGAAGAGGTTACCAGTTTAACGATTTTCCAGACATCACAAGATTTCCTTGGCAAGCGTAAAGCGCCATCACCTCCCCCGAGCACTGCTAGCCCTTGACCATGATTTTGTACTTTGTCGACTAGGAGGACGTTTGCGATCTATTGACTAGAATCGTTGAAAATAAATATTGAATTGCGATCTATTGAATATTAATCAAAAAATTCACTCATGGAATTTCAAGCCAACGTATGGGAATATAATCTCAAAACAGTAACTATGTGTGTAAAACGTTAAGTTTATGGCAGTAAAACAATTCGACACGGGTACATTTATGTGCTATTATGTCTGTTGCTACCGATCATTTTTACATTTAGTATTTGCCGGTACTACTATCAAATTTTGTTTTAATTATATTACCACTAACACCACATTTATCATCCCTATCTTTTGTCCCTTATTTTCCTATCCTGGCATTTAATAAGTGCTATAATATTTGTGATATTTAAGTGCTGTAATATTCGTATTATATAAGATTACTGCGTTGTTTTACTTATAATTCCACTCTTATAGCGCATCACCTGGCGCCAACCTGCTGCAAAAATTTCACTTTCTTATAAAGGGGTCAGTATGCCGACCGTTATCTGATTTGAAAAGTAATGTACTGCACTGGACACATCAGTTTCCTTGGTATTATTACTCATGCAAATTCTGGAAATAAACATTTAATAAGCAATTATTCGATGTTAAAGTAACAGAACCCAACGAGAAAGTAAGCGTATAAGACTTTCAACAAGAAACAACGGAATACAAAGAAGCGTACATCACTCAAAGCGAATTAAACGAACGCCCTTCATCACAACACAGAGATAAGCTCAAGCCTCGAAAATTTTAGTACTACGCAATGATGCTGCATTTAAGACAGAACTTGAAAATGATTTTCTTTCCTTTCTTCTATTTCCTTGCTATATTTTTGTATCTATTCTTGCCATAT